CTTTCTGTCTCTCTGTCTCTGTCTTTCTGGTGAGCACACGCACCCTATAGCAAAAACCTCTCCAAAAAAAAAAGGAGAGATACAGGGCCAGCAAATGGTATAGTGATTGGGGTGCTGAACTCCCATGTGGCTAACCAGAGTTTGAGTCCTGGACCTGGTGACTTGCTTTCTTCCTCTCTTTCTCTCTCTGTATCACTGGTCAAATTGAATATTAATAATATTAAATTAAATTAAATTAATAATTCTTAAAAAAAAAAAAAAGCAGAGGTTGATTTTTTAAAAAAGCAATACTAAACACTGTGCTGTCTACCAAAAACTCACTTTGTTTTTTTCAATTGCCAGAGGGCATGTGTGCTTGTCAGACAGAGACAGAAAGACAAAGAGAGACAGGGAGAAGGAGAAAGCACACCCTGATGGGGTGTGGTCGTGCCATACCCCTTCTCCATTTCTCCATCCTACTGGAATTTTTGGACACTCTCACACACACTCCTAGCACGGTTTTCAAACTGCCACAGCCGGGATTCTAACAGTGGTTAACCACGTGGGATCTGGCTCTCTCAACCACTAGACCATAAAGTTGGCCTATTATATTCGCGATACGAAGAAACAGGTTGAAAGTAAAAGATTTGGAAAAATAATATACTTGGCTAACATTAATCAAAAGAAGTCCTAGGGACCAGCAGATGGCATAATGGTTACATCACTGGAGTCACATGTGATTATCACATTTCAAGTCCCAGCCCCAGCGGTTCAAGCCCCAGACCTGTCAGTTTGAAACTCGATCACAGTTCAAGTCCCAGACCCAGCAGTTCAAGCCCCAGACCTGTCAGTTTGAAACTCACACCGGGCATGTGTGCATGTGTGCCAAATATCCAAAGAGGAGAATGGAGGAGAAGAGACTGCAGTGTGACCATCTCTCCTGGGAGTTGATTTCTCGCTTTCTGTCTCTCTGTCTCTCCAGCAAGCACATGTGTCCTATAGCAAAAAATCTCTCTAAAAATCAAAAAAAGAAAAGAAACTGTAACAGTCACCACCTAGAAGAATCAAGGACAGGACAGAGTGAATATAATATTGAGCAACAGTGTATCAAAAAGGGATGAACTGAACCTGTCAATGCCCTCCCTCACATAACCCATTGGCATTTTTCGTGTCTTAGCATCCAGGCCCAAATTCCAACAGTCAGCATCTACAGCTCTTTGCCTGAGAGAATCTTTCTGGCAACTGGAGCTTTTTTCCTCATACACATTTTTACAATTTTTACAAGTCTAAATACTAGAAAATTAATGTCCCTACTGAGAAACTTTCAATCAATAACTGACAGGAGTTGGTAAATGGTAGCCAACCAACAAGATGACTCCAATGGCCTCATCACCTCCGGTTTCATATCATTATGTAATGCACTGTATTAGGATGAGCCTATCTGGGGTCAGCAGGTGGCGTGGTGTTTTACACACTAGACTCTCACATAGTCAATGCAGTTTGAGTTGTGGACCTGGCAACTTGAAACTCATGCTGGGCATGTGTGCGTGCATGTCCAAGATCCCCGAAGGAGAAAGGAGGAAAAGGGATTGCACTGTGACCATCTGCCCTGGGCGATAATGTCTCGCTTTCTCTCTCTCCATCTCTCTCTGTCTCTCTGGCAAGTGCACACATCCTATAGCAAAAATCCCTCAGGAAAAAAAAGAGAGAGAGAGAGAGAAAAGAGGAAAAAGGATGGGTCTATCTGACCAGCAGAATTCTACAGAAGTGATGGTATGACAGTCTGAGAATAGATACAAAAGATGGTGTGCTTCTCTCCCTCTCCCCGTCTATTTCTCTCTCTCTCTCTCTCTCTCTCTCTCTCTCTCTCTCAACTCTCATATTACTCTCTGAATAAAACCAGCTACTACGTCATAAAGACCCCTTGTGAAGAGATTCATGTGGGAGGAACTGAAGCCTTTTGCCAACAGCTATGTGAATAAGCCATCTTAAAAGTACATCCTGGGGAACCAGCAGTTAGCGTAATGGCTATGTCGCTGGATTCCCATGTGGTCGACCGCAGTTCGTGTCCCGGACCCGGTGGCTTAAAACTCACGCCGGGCGCGTGTGCATGCGTGCCCAAGATCCCGAGAGGAGAATGGAAGAGAAGGGATTGTGGCATGACCATCCCCCCTGGGGGGTGATTTCTCGCTTTCTGTCTCTATGTCTCTCTCTGTCTGTCTGGTGAGCGCACGCGCCCTACAGTGAAAATCTCTCCA